CTGCAGCCTCAACCTGCTGGGCTCCGGCGATCCTTCCGCCTCAGCCTTCCGAGTAGCCAGAATTACAGGCATGTACTACCACTTCCGGCTGATTTTTTAATTTATTGTAGAGATGAGGTCTCGCCAAGTTGCCCAGGCGGGTCTCGAACCCTCAGGCTCAGGCAATCCACTCACTTCAGCCTCCCAAAGCGTGGGATTACAGGCTGAGCCACTGAGCCCGGCTGATTTTAATTAACTACATGTTTTGCACATGCTTACAAAGTCCTGTTGAAAACATGTTCCTTTTGAGAAAATGAGTAGAAACAGTAGCAAAAACCAAATTCTTACTGACATTTAAGTGAATCTTTGCATTATAAGACTAAAACTACGAGCTTCTAAATATTTTTTTTCCAAAGAACTGATTGAAATATAGCTAAAGGAAATGTTTATTTTCTAAATTTTTTAATTTGGGAAAGATACACAAAACTGGGGTTGGTTTAAACTCACTGATCAGGATGAACCTGTAGACTTTCTCCTATGGCTTTGTTGTTCATCATTTCCTCACTTTATTATAGTTATTATTATTTTTGTGTCAGGGTCTCACTCTGTTGACCAGGATGGAGTGCAGTAGCATGATCAGAGGTCACTGCAGCCTTGACCTCCTGGGCTCAGGCAATCCTTCTGCCTCAGCCTCCCGAGTAGCTGGGACTACAGGTGCATGAAACCATGCCCAGCTAATTTTTTGATTTTTTGTGGAGACAAGGTCTCACTATGTTGCCTATACTGGTCTGAAACTCCTGGGCTCAAGCAGTCCTTCCATCTCAGTCTCCCAAAGTGCTGGGATTACAGGCGGGAGCCACTGCTCCTGGCCCATTTCCTTATTTAACAGTTTCAATTCTCCATTAATTTCATCCTGGACAGAATATATTAGCTTATGTTTCCAGCTATCATACAATCTTGTATCACCTTGTATAGGTTACTGGAGCTAATCCTCTGAGTCTTAGGCTTTTGCTGCTATACAGTAGTATTATTTATTATTTAACATGTTGTCATTTTCAGCATGTACTCTCACACACACACACACACACACACACATACACACACACTGGGATGTAGGGTAAGAGGGACAGGAGATGAAGAGTACTGAAAGGTAAATTGAGAATGTTAGCTTTAGGCCAGGCGTGGTGGCTCAAGACTATAATCCCAGCAGTTTGGGAGGCTGAGGTGAAAGGATTGCCTGAGTCCAGGGGTTTGAGACCAGCCTGGGCAACTTGGTGAGACTTCGTCTCTACAACAAATCAAAAAATTAGCCAGGCATGGTGGTGCACACCTGTGGTTCCAGCTACTTGGAAGGCTGAGGTGGAAGGATCACCTGAGCCCAGCAGGTCGAGGCTGCAATGGCCATGAGTATGCCATTGCACTCCAGCCTGGGCGACAAGAGTGAGACTCCAACTTTAAAAAAAAAAGAGAGTATGTTAGCTTTATAATTATGAACTGTATATAATTTATATGCTCTACTGTATATATTTCCTGATTTAAATAAACAAGATACTAAGTTATTTGAACTAGAGTAAATTTTTATCTGTCCTTACAACATTGTTACAAAAATGTATTAAGAAAAATCATAAGAGTTCACTTTATTAAGGAAGTATTGAATCATAGTAATGTCTCTTTCCTCTTTCCTTTTCAGAATACGTATGTAACTGCTCTGTGATTGGAAGTCTGGATGTGAATCGCTGCAATCAGACCACAGGGCAGTGTGAGTGTCAGCCAGGTTATGAGGGGCTTCACTGTGAAACCTGCACAGGGGGCTTTTACCTGAATCACACTGCTGGGCTCTGTCTGCCCTGTGACTGTAGTCCACATGGAGCCCTCAGCATACTGTGCAACAGGTAAGCAACAGAGAGTGGATATTAGGTTTAATTTATTTTAACAAGGAAAAAAAAAGGCCTCTCCCAAGGATCACACTAGTTTAAATAAAGATTAAATATTTTATCATAGATTTACAAAATATTTATATACTCGTATTTCCTCACTTTGTATGTTACATTTAAAGTCAGGATTTAAAAGCTTCTAATTTACTGATTTAGTTCTTCAAAACTGAGTCACCAATTTTGCTCTGTGATGGTTTCTGTAAAAAAAAAAATTTTTTTTTTTTTAATTAGAGTCTCACTCTGCCACCTAGGCTGGAGTGCAGTGGCACACTCATGGCTATTGCAGCCTTGACCTGCTAGGCTCAGGTGGTTCTTCCACCTCAGCCTTCCAAGTAGCTGAAGCCACACCCAGCTAATTTTTTGATTTATTGTAGAGACAAGGTCTTGCCAAGTTGCCCAGGTTGGTCTTGAACCCCTGAGCTCAGGCAATCCTTTTGCCTCTGCCTCCCAAAGTGCTGGGATTGCAAGTGTAAACCACCATGCCTGGTGGTTTCTGTAAATTTCATGGAAAAAAATTATGGAGAAAAGAATGTGCTTTCTGGAAGGGCTAACTTTCAGGCATTTCCAGAGGAAATGTTCTTTTTTATGTTTATTAATATACCATTGGTATTTGAGAAAATTTGTTCTTTATTTTTTCTCATCAAAATTCTAGGTTTGTTTCTTTAGGCAGCTAAGGCTTAAACTTGGCAATATCCTAATTTCTTTAACTGGTGGTAAGTAGACTGGTTTTACTTTATTTACAAGTACAAAACTAGATTAAGCAAGATTTATATGAAAATTACCTTAAAAAGAATATTTGGGCTGGGCATGGTAGCTCAAATCTGTAATCCAAGCACTTTGGGAGTCTAGCTGGGAGGATCACTTGAGCCTAGAAGTTCAAGACCAGCCTGGGCAACATATTGAGACTTCGTCTCTTAAAAAAAAAGAAGTATTTTATTTGAAGTTTGACTTAATCTAGTGGAACAATGACCTGTTATCTGAGGATTTACCTTCTACTACACTGAAAGTAATTATTTTTTGACCTTGTATGAGGCACTTAGCTTTCTGTGGACCTCAAGTCAAAAAACTGAAGAGACAATCTTATGTAATGAAAAGAACACAAACTTTAGAATTTGAGTAACCTGGGTATGAATCCAAGAGTTACCATTTAGGAGCTGAGTACCTTAAGCAAGGCATTTCATCTCACCGAGCCTGTTTCCTCTCAAGGTTTTTATGAAGGTTAAATGAATTGATATATGTAAAATGCCAAGCACATATCATTCAATAAATTCTGATTTGTTTTAATTTCAAAGGAATATTATTGACTTAAATGAGGAAATGTATTTTAAGAAATTTAGCTCCTTGGCAGAAGTACCTTACTTATCTTCAGCAATAGCTATTTTAGATGCTTTATAAGTCATATTGTACTATTATACAATACAGTATTGTATTGTAGTTATATAAAAAATACAGATGTGAACTTAAGAAGTTTCTAGTTTCAAATGCAATAATAATGAATATTTATTATGCTTGGTATTTTAAAATAGTTATTTGTCTTAAACCTTATATGTAGGTTACTAGGTCACAAAGATAATAAGTGGCAGGCAAGAAATTCCAAATTAGGTCTTTTTTTTTTTTTCCTTTTTGAGACAGGGCTTCACTCTGTAGCCCAGGCAGGAATACAGTGGCATGATCACATGATCACAACTCATAGCAGCCTTGACCTTCTGGGCTCAGGCAATCCTTCCACCTCAGCACACCGAGTAGCTGAGACTACAGGTGTGTGCCGCTATGCCTGGATAATTAAAAAAAATTTTTTGCTGCCCAGATGGGTCTTGAACCCGCAGGTTCAGGCAATTAAAAAAAAAAAAAAATTTTTTTTGTAGAGACAGTGTTTCACTATGTTGCTCAAGCAATCCTCCCTTCTCGGCCTTCCAAAGTGCTGGGATTATAGACATGAGCCACCATGCCTGGCCAAATTAGGTCTAATTCCAAGTCTTTACCACCATATCACATGGCTTCTATAATGAGAAAACTGATCATCACTCTGTTCTTTGTTCTTTGAGACTGAGAATATAGAAGTTCCCTCTACTCCACCAAAAACATGCCCATACAAGTAATAGTCAGAAGTTTTAAATTTCTTACTATTTAAAAAGACAAGCTATTAATAAGTGTTCATTCTGGTGTCTCTTGAAATGTCCACTATTTTCTTTAGAATAAGATTCTGCAAACATATTTGCCTTGAGTACTTTTGGAGAAATAGAAAAGTGTTTACTGCTAGGCCATGTACCTTAATAGAGGAGAAAGAAATAAGGTAAGGGTTAAGGAAGAGTTTTAGAAGCTAGAAAATAATGAACATTTGTATACCTAATCCTGAGTTGTACCCTACATCTTTAAAATTAAAAAACAAAGAATCTAGAAAAGAAGAAAAACAGTAATAGTAATATTTATGTAATATTTTCATAGTTATTTTACAAATTATTTCTGGTTTATCTTTTCTCTGACATTTAATGCTATTAAGTTTAATTCTAAAGGGCCGGGTATGGTGGCTCACATCTGCGTTTCCAGCAATTTGGGAGGCTAAGGCTGAGATGGGAGGATCACTTGAGCCCAGGAGTTTGAGGCTACAGTGAGCCACGACTGTGTTGCTGCACTGCAGCCTGGGCAACAGAGCAAGAACCTGACTCCAAAAAAAAAAAAAAGTTTAATGCTAAAACTTTCTGTTCTGAAAATAGGTGGTGACCATAATGCAATGGAAAAGTACACTAGACTAGCAAAGTAAACTAAAGGTCTAGGGCAGAGATCTGCAAACTATGGCCCGTAAACCAAATCCACCCGCTGCCTGTTTTTATAAATACGGTTTTATTGGAACACAGCTCTGCCCATTTGTTCTTGTATGATCGGTCTATGACTGGTTTTGTGCATAATGGCAACATTGACTAGTTGTGATAAAGACTGTAAGGGCTGCAAGCCTGAAATATTTACCATCTGGTCTTTTAAGAAAAAGTTTGCAACCCCTGGTTTATATCCAATTATAGTGGGTATTATTAAGTATACATGTAGTTGTAGGCAAATCAGGGTCAAGGTCATTAATATCACTGTTTTCCACCTACCCATCTTGTCCCACTGGAAGGTTTTTGGGCAATAGCATACATGGAGCTTTCATCTCCTGTGATAGCAATGCCTCCTTCTTGAATACCTCCTGAAGGACCTACCTGAGATTATTTTACAGTTAACTGAAGGCTGTGGAGGGAATACACTCTAACATAGTGATGAAAAGTATAGTATAGTAAATATGTAAACCAGTAACATATTTATTATCAAGGATTGTATACTGGTATCATTGTCTGTGCCGTACTTTTATACAACTGGCAGTGCAGTAGGCTTGTGAGTAATGTGTTATGCTACAACATTACCATAGCAATGACCTCACTAGGTGATAGGAATTTTTCAGCTTCACTATAATCCTATAGGACCACTGCATTATTGACTGGAAGCATCATAATGTGGCTCATGACTATTATTTTTCCCTGGTCTATATATGTACTATCTTCTGTGTATATCTGATAACTTCTGTTATCTTTAGTAGGTTTCATTTTTTAATGCGGTAATGTAATTTTTTAATTGTCTGCATAATGTCCAAGTATTATTTCTTAAATCCCTTATCATCTTTTTTACTTAGGTGAAATAGAAGGACCTTGCTTCCCCTGCAGTCTGTGCAAGTGATGCCTGTTTTCTCTCTCACGTTCTTACCTCTGACCTGGAGTAGTAATAGATATCTCCTCATTGCTGCTCCCAAGTGCTCTTCCCTCCCTCTTTCCTAAAAATCTAATTGAAGTTCATGGTGGTGGACTATACTGTTACCTCCTTGTTGCTGCTCCTGCTCCTGGGCACCGGCTTTTATTTCTTACACTTGGTTCACTATTGTGTCTCTGACACTACACTTGCCATGATTTTAAATTGTTGCAATATCTGTAGATGATCCTAACAATACTTTGACCTCACACTTTTGACTACTCTTTCAATAAGTTTTCCTCTCTGCTCTTTCCAATGTTTTACTTGCCTTATTTCTTGTTTGTCTTTGGCATACTAATTTTTTGAGATAAATGCATATTTTTCTACAGATTACAACAGAGTGTTTTTTTAAGTTTCAAAAAATACTATTTCAGAATGTCAGAACAAGCAGTGTGTCACAAAAGTAGTTTAAAAACTGTGCCTGTATGAGTCTTTACAAGGAAGCCGTAGGAGCTCAAAACTCACATAGCTGTAAGCACTTAATTTCTTAGTAACAGAAAGGAAGTTAAACTAGCATGAAACTAGAATAGAAGAGGGAAGTTGCAGGACTATGTGCTTTTCAAGAAGATATGGGTGAACTATGAGGAAACACCTCTGTCTTCTGTTCTGCTATAAATGATCTGTGAGAGAGTTAAGGGAAAAAGAAAATTGTAGGCAGTAGTATAATGTTTAGTAGAAAGGGAGTGGAATTTGAAATTGGTAGACTTGGATTCCATTCTTGGTTCAGACAAGATCATAACTGTATACCCTTGATTAAGTTATGTGTCTTCTCTGAACCTGTTTTTAATTTGTAAAACAGGATTAATATATCTAATGTAAGGAATTTTTGTAAGAATTAGTACAAAAATACAGTTAGATAAAAGGAATAAGATCTAGTGTTTGGTAACATAATAGGGCAGGTTAACAACAATTTATTATTTCAAAATAGCTAGTATAGTAGATTTGGAATGTTCCCATCACAAATAAATGATAAATGCTTGAGGTGACAGATATCATGGTTACCCAAATTTGATCATTACACATTGAATGCTTGCATAAAAATAATACATGTATCCCATAAATATGTATAACCTTTTATGTACCCATAAAAATTTAGAAACATTTAAAAAGAAGATAATTACATTGTGTATATATGTGTGTGTATCCTCTTATAGTATGACTAGCACATAGATTTAGCTCAATAA